AGGTGGGCGGGGACAGAGAGTTCTCGTGCTAACGAAGGGAGGAACAGGTGCCAAGTCCTCGTGCAGGTTCAATCCTCTAAATCCCGGAAGAGGGAGTGCCCGGATCCTGTGTTACCTTGCGGCTCGTTTCCAGGCACGCAGCTGGTAGAGGGAAAGGCCTGCTCCAGACCAGCCACGTTGCCCCAGGATTCAATCCAGATCCTCGGAGAGGAGGAGATGCTCTGGGGGAATCCTTCACACTTCATATCCTCGGTAAAGTTCCTGAGTGGTGGGGGGAATCCTTCACACTTCATATCTTCGTGGGGAGATTGCTTTCATGGCAAATCTCGAGCAGGAAATAAGAAAAAAATTGCAAGGGAGGAGCTGCAGGAGATTGCAGCTGCCTTCTCCTTATGTGGTGGAGGACGCTAAAATAGGGTTGGTATTTCAGCAGTTCCATTTGTCTTAGTGAAGGACATCATCAGCCCCTGTGTTTCGTGTAAACTCAGCCCCTGCAGTTTGTTACTCTGTTTTATTTGTTCAATTTCCCTGGCCACCCATAGAAATGTGTTTGTGACTTTAGAGTATGTTGTGTGAAGTGTATGTAATTGTGCGATTTGGCTCTTAAAAAGCAAACCCTGAAGAAAGGGAAATGGAACACCCTAAACCAGATCATTTCATTTTATATGAACTGAACTTTCGTGACCTGTTAAGCATTTGGCATGTTGCGTGAACCCTGCTTGTAGGTAAATGCAGATACGGGTTTTTTAATAAAGCAAGACCTATCTTGATCACATGGGCCCTGAAGTCCTCATACATACATGCCAGTTGCCAAGTGTTCAAATGTACCAGGGTCATAAATTTGAAAAACAGTCATAAGTCACTTTTTTTGGTGCCGTTGTAACTTTGAACGGTCATTCTATAAATGGTTGTAATAAAAGTGGGATACAAATAAATATTAGATATTAATGCACAGGCACTAACTTCTCATTGCCACTGTAATCCTAAAGTAGCTTAGAAAAATGCTTTCTTTCATTGGGATAAGTGTTCTTCTGGGATTAAATCCACTACTTTCTAATTCATCTCAGATACTCAAATTGGATGCCATTTGTACATTCTCTTGTTGAGGCAAAAATGTCCCTTGGACAAAGACAACAGAATGACTTGTTCTAGTCATTACTGTGGCTAGAGGAATGGTCCTGTGAATGAAAAGGTGTTTGGAGATCCGTAAGATTCCCTTGGACCCATTTGGAGTTGCATTACAGGACAGAAAAAAAATGGAAAGTGAACCCTTAGGAAGTGAGGGAACTGGAAAAGGCCCTTCTGGGATTCAGCCTGGGAGCCAAGGGAAGATCTGGGCAAGAACTGGGCAGAAGATCCAGGAGGAAAAAACCACCCTCTCAGATGTTCAGCCCTGGAAATTCAGGAGCATCCAATATCAGGAGGATGAAGATCCCCGAGGACTTTGCAGCCGACTCCATTTCTTTTGTAGTCAATGGTTGAGACCAGAAAAGCACACAAAAGTGCAGATGCTGGACCTGGTTGTTTTGGAGCAGTTCCTGGCACTTCTGCCCCTGCAGATGCAGAGCTGGGTGCGGGAGTGTGGAGCAGAAACCAGCTCCCAGGCGGTGGCCCTGGTGGAAGGCTTCCTCCTAAGCCAGGCGGAGGAGAAGAAGGAGCAGGTTGAGTTGCAGGTAAGAGACCATCATCGTGGGAGATTAGAAGAGGTTTAAATGTAATGTCACTTTATCGGTGAGAGGGGCAGTATATAAACTTAATAAGTAGATAATGTATTTGAATTCTTAATCCTTCCCTACCAGCATTCTATAGCAGGCATAATATGTGGAGAGATTTCACTAATTATTTGGGACATTATTTCATTCTCCATTCTCCAAGAAAGATATGGGACAGCCAATTCTTTCCAGCCTCACTGATGGACATTGGGGGCTTTGAATTGGTGAC